GAATGATGAAGAGGCAAACTATTATTTTTCTTAAGTGTTATTGCTTTGCTGTTTTTATGTGTTTTTCCTTTCCTGTTGAAATTTTCTAATTTCTTGCACATTTAAAAAGTATATCTTGCATCTTTACCAGTCTTTTTGATTATAACAATGGGGGATAAGTACACTCTCAGGAGGAGTGGAGTATACTCTCTACTTATGCGAGGAGGAATTTAACCACTCCAATGTTTATCCACCTATTTTTTTTTACTTACCATCTCTTTGAGAGATGCGTTGTCATTATCAAAAAGAGGGAGAATATGGAATTATGTGCTTACATGTATAATTAAGAGGTGATAAAAGCTCATAGATAAGCAAGCTGTGATTGACCCTGATAACATCATTGTTTTGATGATGACAACACCTAATGATAACAAGTTAGAACTTAGGAAAAGAATGAAGTTAACTTAAGCGAGCAAAGATGGGCAAGATGGTTGATTAAGTTATTCCTCCAAATCAAGTCAAAGAATTAGGATTTTATGATCACCAATGATATCCTCTATTGATGGTGTCAGACTTGAATATTTCTCAATTCTCAACCACCATAAAATTCAAGTTAAGTGCTCATATGAATTATATATTTGGAAAAAAGAATTTATGCTTCAGGGAGTGAAATAGGAAGTTTGAAAGCTCATCTAATTGTTTGTTTGACTGATCAGAAGTTGTAAAAACACAATGGAATTTTCGGAAGCATCACGGATAAATTACACACACACTATAACAATTTTTGAAGCCTAACTTTTTCAAATAAAATCACCTAAAATGTTTTGGAGCCTAGCCATATGAATTGGAAACTGTTTAATCAATTAGAACAAATGCCTAATCGATTAGATGAAGGAGAGTCAACTCCATTTAATCGGTTATGATAATGTCTTAATGGATATAATGACTCTCTATAAAAAATTTCCAATTATGGCAGCAATAGTTGATTATTGTGTGTTCCTAATCGATTAGTTAATCAATTAGGTCATTAATTTTTCCCTTGGATTGTTTCCTAAAATGAACCATTCTTTTGCCTATAAATAGAGGTCTTCCCCTTCATTTCAAACATCCAGGAAATGTGAGATATTTCACCTTCCCCTCTCTCAATATCTCTTTAAGTTATTATTTTTTTCTCTCACGTATTTTTATCCATAGCACTTTGAGAAACGTTCTTGAGTTTATTGAGGAAACTTTTTTGGGAAAGGGAATTATTTTAAATTTACCAAGATTTATTTTTCCTTTTGAACCTAAACATGTTAAAATCTCTTTTAGAGGATTAGTATAAGTCTTTATTTGGTTCATGGACTCCTTTTGGGTTCTTGAAGAATAACCAGTGAAAAATATTTACATTTTTTCTTGAGCTCATCCTGGTACAAAAGCTCAATTGTTCCAGATCAACCCGATATAAAATATCGGTTCGATTCATGGTTAGTGCGGTATAAAACCTTGGTTCAATTCAGAGGATAGCAAATTCAAAAACTCCTATTTGTTTTGAGATTAGCCTGTGTAAATCTCAGCTTGGCTTAGAGGCTAACCGCATGAAGCTCTGTTTGATGTTTGGTTTAGAGATTAATCAATCAAAGTTTTGTTTGTTGTTTGACGTGAATAAAAACCATTTCCTTACTTTTTCGTTGTTTGGCATGAAGTTAACTTGAAATTTTACTTTTCCTTGTATAAGGGGTTTGTGGGCTTAATCTTCTAAAAACTCTAAAGAATTATTGGATATTCTCAAAATCAATTCTTGGGGAGATGAGTATGTCACTTCATTAAGACCGAATCTCTATAAATTTTTTGTGTTATCTCACTTCCCTTAACTTTTTACTTTTTGATTATTTTCTTTATTCTTACTTTTCACTGCTTATCCAAACAATTTAAAAAAAATGTTTTTAAATTTTGATTTAGAAAATAATTTTGTTTTAAACTATCATTTTTCAAACTTAAACAAATTTAAACCCTTCCACCCTCTTGAGTATGGAGTCACATGTTCAATACATATTATATAAATTGTGTCAAATTAAGTCAATTACACAGATTATGCCAAGTTATGTCAAATTAAGTCAATTACACAAGTTATGTTAATTATACAGATTATGTCAAATTGTGCAGGTTATGCCATAATATTTCCGTTATACAAGTTATGCTAACTTGTGTGGACAATTATATAGATAATGCCAAAATGCATACTTAGTGTCAAATTGCACAAGTTAAAACGACCACAACCATAACATATTCTTCCGAAATTCTCGTAAGTTCATGATGTCACCAATGGTGACTCAAGGTCACACTAACACATATTCCCTATACTTATTAAACCATAGTAATTTGTTGAAATTAGAACCTTGATTCAGTCATGGGTGAATGAAATAAAAATAATAAAGATATGAATCCTGTTGTACCCCAATTTTTGCCCCTAAGATTCCTCTATCATCTCATACTATCACAATGCAATAAGATCACTCATTAGGGTTTTGGGTACTTCTTCTACTTCATCCTATCTTTAGGTTTGTTCATGAGGGATCACCAAGCACCTTGAATTGTGTATCTTGTACATATATCCTTTTGATTAACATAAAAATATGTATATATGTTTCTTTGAATGTCATCTTGTAGGTAAAGACACAATTGCATGTATCTTGCCATCTCCTAGCACAAAGGATCAAAAATAGGGTTTGGAATTTGATCAGGAAATCTCTGACTTTTGGGGAAATACTTGATTACATGCTTCTCTACATGTTCATGAGCAACTATGATTAGAAGTTTGAGCATAAATTTTGGTTTGGAAAGGTTCAATTGACAAAAAGGGGTAAATGGGCCATTTTGTCAGAAGTCAACCAAAGGCAACTGTTGACCAAGGGGAATTTTGGTCAACTATCAATTCAATATCCCTATTTTCACATTTCATGGTCAATGGTAGAATAAAATCAAGAGGAAGTGTGAATTGGATATAACTTGTCAATGAAGTTATTTGAAATTTTGGATTTTTTCTAAGTGTTCATAGTGCTGAACTTTGATTGATCATAACTTTCTTATTTTTTATTGAAAATGTACAAACTTTACATGCCTGGAAAGAGAATACAAAATTCTTCAAATTTGCATTAGAGGCCTCAAGTCCAAAAAGTGAAAGGAGAAAAAGTTATGTAGCTTAGAAATTTCTGGGAACTTAGTGAAATTTTAAATATGTACAAAAATCTAATTTCTTCATGGCTAATTTTAAATATTCATTTGGGCTCAAATCAAAAAGTTGGTAACATCAAAGTCGGAGTTT